GGATGTCTCATAAGCCAGTATCACGGGCTGCATTTAAGTCTTCTTAGTATCCATTTATCAACCACCTCCATGTCTGGCCCTAATGTTCTTTTAACTTCAAGTGACACCGTCAGAGTGTGTCAGTACACCACCAGCTCCCACCCGTGAATCAAAAGCTAAGCACGACACCGCACAGCCTCTGAGATCTATAGCAGAGGCATTCCAGTCCCTTTGCTGCAGCCTGCCTGCATGCCTGATGTTCCCACTGAAGCCTTGGGTCAATGCGTTGTTTTATGACTTCCTTTTGTTCTGTAACATCGAGTCCGTGTTACCACTTAACGGGGAACCACATTACTTGGTGCAACTTGAATCTGTGTTCCCGGTGGATCCGTGGTCACTTATGTTTGGCTCAAAATAAACTTAACTTTCCCTCTGGAGCAAGACCTGAGCACCGTCGACCCTACAGATGACCCCTCTGTCTCACGCTGCCCACGGGCTTGACTCAGCCCTTGTCTGTCTAGAACTAATCCAGGCTATCACTATCGACTCTGCCCATGTCACAGGTAAGGAAAGTGAGGCCAGGATGACTCGGTGGGTAGCAGAAATGTGATTCGCACTAATCACTGCTCTGATGGTTGCTCTGTGCTGAGCAGGAGAGGTGAGGTTGGGAGAGCTAGGATAAGACTAGGAACCTTGGCAGTCTTGTCCTTGCTCCCACAGAACTTGGACTCTATCCCAGGGATATTGTGAGCCTGAGGGTTACAAGGGGGACGACACAGAGGGAAGTGTGTCTGGAATTAAGATCATCTGCAGAGCCTGTAAATGCCTGAATTCTAAGCATCTGGGCACGAGCAGACCCAGATCTGGTCATTCGTGAAGACTGAAGGATTCGGTGTTTGGGGCTGCTTTCTAAAAGCACCTGGGAAATCTTCATGCCCCTGGTGGCCCTCTGCGACACTGGGCGGGGCCACAGTGGTTGATATCTGTTCCCCTGAGGATGAGTGCTGGATCCAGGGGAGGCTGATGTGAGTCACATCTGCTGCGAGAGAGCAGGGTCAGGTGACAGCAGAGAGGCCACAGCAAGTGCAGGGACACTCCTGGTCCCGACCTTTAAAAGCTGCTGTGTCTTCGGGGTCAGGACAATGGAGCAGGCGCTCGATGTGTAGGCAAATGAGCTGCTGTAGCGAGCCCAACTGAGGGCATATAAGCCGGAGAGAGAACTCAGCATGGCCTGCTCTCACTCTTCATTGTTTTCTGGACACACATGGGGCTTTCCCCTTAGCTTCCCAGGGTTCTAGGAAATCCTACACGGGCTCACTGTGAACGACTCCATTCTAAGCTGTATTTTATTTAACCCGTTCCTGCACTGGGCCACTCATGCTATTTCCCTGAGTATTAGAAGCTGTCAAAGAATTAGAAACAAGGATCCCGGAGAAGCAGCAGAGCTGACAAGCGAGGTTCCAGAAACACACTGCAACATCAAAGCCCAGCTCAGAGCCATGTGCCTGGGGTTCCACAAAAGTCTTGCACAGTTTGGAGTTATCTCTAAGGAAACACTATATAAAGTCACACATTTAAAGGAAAATGCATGCTCTTGGTAAGGAGGGTGCACCTGGCTTATCAATAGCTAGTTCCCACAGTGGCTGGCCATCTACCCTTAGAAGTGACCTCCAGCCGAGCCTTTGGAGGTACTCCCACATGCTCCATGCACACTCAGCACAGTACTTCTGCAGTTCAGCTGGTCCTTAGGGTGCAGCCCAGAAATGGGGGTCACTAGGTCAGTGTCTTAGGTACTTTTCTGTTGCTATGAACAGACACCACAATCAAGGCAACTCCTGCGAAAAAACACATCCAAGTAGCGTTTTTAAGGGCTTAGTTCATGATCATCATGGCAAGAGGCAGACAGGCATGGTGATGCAGCAGTAGCTGAGAGCTTGACATCCTGATCTGAAGGCAACAGGGAGAGAGAGAGAGAGAGAGAGAGAGAGAGAGAGAGAGAGAGAGAGAGAGAGAGAGAGAGAGAGAGAGAGAGAGAGAGAGAGAGGGGACAGATACTGCACCTGGTGTAGGCTTTTAAAACCTCAAAGCCCAACCCAGGAACATAATTCCTCCATCAAGGCCACACCTCCTAATCCTTCCATTTTTCTCAAACAGTTCTACTCCCTTGTATCCAAATACACGAGCTTCAGGGGGCCAGGTGGTTCTCAAACTAGTCTTCTGGTTGGCCTGAAGACTGTACAGAGTGTGTTGTTGAACACCCCATCAGCACAAAGGGAACAAAAGACTTTACCCCATCTCATCAGACAGAAAATGAAGACAGGAACACCATGTTACCAAGCGCTAGTGTGGATGTCCCTGTCCTCCCAATGGTCGCCCTTCAGCGTATATGTCCAGGCATCAGCAGATGACCTGTTCCCCACCAACAAGCTCCAGAGACCCAGGAGAGATGGCCTGATAGCCCCTCAGCTGCAAATCCACTGAAGACGGAGACTGTCCCACGCCAGGACAGTGGTACACCATCCCCAGAGCACCCCACTTACCAAGGCTTTGCATTTCATTTTAAATCTATGACTTAGCATAGTATCTCTTTATAGAGAACTCCAAACTGCATATGTCTCCAGCTGTGCAAAGCCAGAACTATGTCCCGTGCCTGCCACTAACAGATGGATCTATCTGTTTCTCCCTGCCTGGACTCTCAGCACCCCAGAGGTACAGCGTCTGCTGATTCCTTTAGCCTCCAGTGCCCAGAGCTAGAGTGCCTGAGAAGAAACCGTGGAGGGAAGCACAGACAGAAACTCACACACCCACGGGGCTACTCCTTCCAGACACGCAAATACGCCCCCTGGCTTGTGTCTCCCCTCTTCCAGGAAGGGGCACCTGCTCTTGACACCGCCACCTTCTTCTCAAAAGCTATCAACAGAGGAAATTCCCCAAGGTCCTCTCCACCCAGGTCAGTATCCAGGCACTGCCACCATGCCCTCTTATCTGAGCTACGGAGAGCCTGTCTCTGGTCCCGCTGATAACGTGGCCTGCTGTTTTTAGAGGAAACAACTTAGCACTGAGAGTTTCCATGCATATGACTCCGCCTGCGTGTGCGGGGGCGGGGACAGGCTCAGTTCTCTGCAGGGCCCTGGCCCCTGCTAAGGAGGAAACACGCCTGTCGTGATGTGTGACCTACAGTCACCCATGTTTCTCACCCATCAGCAGTGGGGGCAGGGCTCTCCACAGACACCTGCACAGGCCTCCGTTGCCCAGACAACTGCAGGGCTCCATACCCCTGGGCCCTGGCCCACTCTCCAGCAACTTCTATCATGCTTCCTATTCCTCTTTATCACTCCCGGCTCGGATGCCCACTCCCTGGGTCTTGGTCTAGAGTAGCACCAGTCACATCCAAGAACTCAGAAACACTTGTGGACACATGAGGGAAACTAGCGTTTGTCACGAGATGCTGGGAATACAGCTGTGCCTAAGTTAAGGCTTCCTTGCCACTGCAGCTCAGCCAGGTAAATCCAGGGCAAGGGAAGAGAGTTCTCAAGTCTTCCTCCCACTCTGAGCTCAGGACAAGATGCCGCCATGTGCTGCCTTCTCGCTGCGCTCACCCGCTGAAGCCATTCCTGACGCCCTGTCTGCGCCACCACACTGGCTTGAGTCCCCTTAAATCGTAAGCCGAAACAAGTCCACCTTCCCTCCCGGAGCTGCTGTCAGGTGTTTGGTGGCAGCGAGGAGGGGCTCATCTGTGACGCTCACCCTCTGCTGGGCCATTTCCATCTGAGCAGAAAGGTCAAGACGGGTGCTCACCCGAAAGCGGCTGCACCCGCGGTAGCACAACGCGGCATGACTGACAGGTCAGTGAGACTGGTGGTTGGGAGATTGCCGAGCCATCTAGTAGCAATATAGGCTGGAATCTCGTGGTTGTCCTAGCCTCCTCAGCAGGAACTCCTGATGTAGTGACTATGCAATGGCCAACTCCTCAGCTGGATGAGGGCTAGAGCTGTCATTGGCCAGAAGCAAACATCTGGGATTGCTTTGTTGGGGGGGGTTTCTAGGTTGGATTAGTTGAAGCAGGAATGTCTACCCTAATCGTGGTGGTACTCATGAGTGGGCTGGGGTCTTGAACTAAATCAAAGGAGAAGAGAGCAAGCTCCTGACTGTGGACGCCGCGTGACCAGCCGCATCAGGCTCCCGATACCCTAAGTCCTCTGCTACAACGGACAGTCTAGACCTCAGACCGTGGGCTGCAATTAACCCTTTCTTAAGTTGCTATTGTCAGTGAGGAGGAAAGTTACCAATACAGTTTGCTTAGAATAACCTGGATGATGTGTATAGGTGTGTGTGTGTGTGTGCGTGTGCGTGCGTGTATGTGTGTGTGTCCTACATAGGTACATCTTTTCTAGCACTGTGCTCAGAATGTAAGGTAGGAATGCATACACGTAGGACCTCACTGTGGCTGCCACACCGTTCTCCCCAGAGAGGCACCAAGGCACCGGCAGAACACTGACTCCGCACAACACACAGGCAATCTCCAGATCCAGACGCCCAGGACACAGCAAGTGACAAGTGAGTGTCGTCAGGTCTGCCCTCAGAGCCGTCGGGCAGCACTTGATGTAGGGTGCAGCAGTGCCGGGGCCAGGCCTTATTTGTCATGACGGTCACTTGTCACGGAAGGACAGTCGCAGTTCAGGTGTCTCTCGAGTGAGTTTCCACGAGAACTGCACAGCTCGCCATTAGAAGGCCGCTCTGCACTTCTAGGGGAGAGCAGGCGCACATGGCTGAGTCTAAGAAAACAGGGCAACACCCCTTGTTCTGCGGCATAGCCCTCAGAAGAGCCTGGAAAACACAGCACGCGTCTCATCCCTTGTCCTCAACGTAATTCCAAGTGTGGAAAAGACAGCGCATGTTTTCTCATCCCCCAACGCAAGCCACAGCATAGCCTCGTGGGAGAGTCTGGAAAAGACGGCACATCATCTCCCCCGCGTGGGGGCCAGCAGTCACCCACCTCGGCAGGCTGAGCCACTGCCTACCTCTGTCTCACAGGCACAACTGTCCAGCTCTGAGCCTAGCCCAGCGCAGTCGTGGAAGGTGCCGGTGGCTTCTTGATGGCGTTTTCAGTTCCTCAGAGTCAAGTCTAAAAATGGAAAGCAGAGAGGAAGCTCAAGTTAGCTTGGGCCTTTCTGAGATGACTCAAGACAAATGACTAGGACCGCACTAGCCCACCCGAACAGTCACACTACAAAGGGTGCTCCAAGGCACTCTTGTCTCATGGTCCGTGTAGGGAGAGCCAAACAACGGGTTCAGATCTGTTTACAGGGTTCACAGGAAATGCCGGGCAATGGGACACAGCTCGGAAGGGACACTTGGGAGAATGGAGGAGCAAGTGACCAAGTTGGTCCGATGTGAAAGGAAAAGGGAGTGGGATGCCACCATTATAAAAGTAAAAGCCTTAAGGGAAGGGTCCAGAAGGACCAGGAAAAACAAACCAAGGGCGGAGGTTCAAGAGGGTTACTGGATAGTGTGTGGACAGCGGAGATTCGCTGGGCTTCTGCTGGCCCCATCTCTGCAACGCATCCCTGACATCGCCAAGGTCATCATCCGTCCCAAAAGATGCCCATATTGTGAATTCGGAGAGCATGCAAATTAGCCTAGCACAACAAGGGAGCGTCCCACACTGCCCCGCCACGGCCCTCGTTGCGGAGAGGGTCCCCGTTTCCCCAGACTTGTCTGCATTCACAGACTTCCCTCAAGGGTGGGGTGCACTCCTCCACCTTTTGCTCCTGAGACTGACTTCACAGTAGGACAGCAGGTAGACCACAAAGGCTCAAACGCAGGATGCGGCAGAGAGTGGGACGCCACTTGGCCGTAGAGCACATGCTCAGTATTCAGGAGGCCCGGGTTCCACCCCCAGGACACACACAGTCCAAGCAGTATTCATGCAACAAACCCACTTCCTCACAGCAGGGACTCTTTCCCCCATCGCATTAACGGGCCGGCCAGGACAGCCCTGTGGATGATATAAGCCACCATGGAGAGGCTTCGGTCTCCCCTGCTAGCCCAGTTTGCTCCTGAGGATGTCAGATACAATGAGTCCCGGCCAACCTAAGTCGATCAGAAGCATGTATCCTCTCAGAGTCAGGAGAATGAGAGCAGGGAAGCCCAATCATGCCCTGGGGTCTGGGCTATGCATCTTGAGAGAAAGCACTACTAACCACACGCCCACCCTGGTAGCTCTTCAGAGCAGCTCATGGCAAATGAGGAAGGAAGGCAGCCTAAGGAGGATGGTGAGGAGGCCGGGACGAGAGGCCGGGAGAGCTGTTTCAGGTGAAGAATGGGCAGGTAAGTAGGTAAGTGGTCAGAAGTCAGCTTTGTCTAAGGCTTGGGTCTGGCTCTGGAAACCCACATGGTGTTGACTGTAAACAGTCTGCCAGGAGCCGCTGAGGGAACAGGATGTTTACAGGGAAGACACAGGGAAGAGACTTAAGCAGAAGGGCTCAGATTCACAGTATGGAAAAAAAATCCTTTCCTTCCGGCTGTATCTTATGTGAGCTAGCTGCAGGGGAGGGGCCGCCAGCCACCAAGCCCAGCCCCAGCCTCTTAGAAGGCCACCACCATCTCCACTGAGAGTCTTGCCTCTCACGACAGCTGGAAGGGGCCTTGATTACAATTAAAAGCTAGAAGGACCTCGGTTTTCAGCAACCGGAGGGGAGTCTTGCCTCAACAGCTGGAGGCGCCTTTACTCTTACCAACAACTGGAGGGGGGGTGGCCTCTTAGCCTTGACTCTCTAGGCTAGGATAGGTCTCGCTGCCCTTGACCTGACCTCCACACTTCACTGGCTGGCACAATCCCTTTATTTTTGCCCTTTCTACTCCCTTTCATATTCCAGTGCTAAGGGCACCTCCCAGGACCCCTCTGCAGACTCCCAGACAGAGGCCACGGCGGCCCTGTACTTCTCCAAAATACTTCCCTGGATTGCTAAGCCCTGAAGGGAGGAGACGCTCATCAGAGTCCCTGGTGTGGCACATGGAGAACGTTAATCACTATTATTCCCCTCCTCTCTCTCCAGTGCTGGGATAAAAAACCGGGTCTTGTGCAAACAAGCTGGGCAAGGGACTTTATCCTGGGGTGCCCACTGTTTCCTTTGTCTCACTACTTACTGCCTATTCACTTTTTAACCCAGTGCAGGCTAACCTAATACCAGGCCGCTCCTCACCGGGCTGTCACTGCTCTCCCTAGAATGAGCTTCCTGGCGGAAGAGGGGCCAAACTTTACCAGCAGGGATTCCCCCACCCACCCTTCCTACCTACTGTATTTACATACAATTTTAGGTATTTTACATACATTACTGAGGAGGCACTTGGCAGTTGTTGAATGAATGAATGAAAGAAAAAACAAAGCCCTGAGCATCAACTGGAGTGGAGCCGGTTTACAATTTAGTGGATGCCTGTACTTGAGCGTGGGCCTCAATTAGGTTACACCTTACTGAACAGTTGAAAAACATCATGATAGAAAGGCCTGCACATATGTGTGCATCCCTAGAGGTAACGCTTTGGTTATATCTGATAAACTATATCTTAAGACATAAGGGAGAAAGTTGAGAACCACTTTAGCACAGAACCCTGCTCCCCACTGAGCCTCTGTTTGTAGACTGGCACCGGTGGGCATCAAAATCAGGGAATCTCATTGAAGCAATGCAACCAATCCTGAACCAGTTCTTTCCTTGGTCTGGACACAGCTGGCTTGGCTTGAATCCAAAATATCTCCTGAAGCCTTGTAGGTCAAAGGCTCTGTTATCAGCTGATGAGACTCAGGGAAGTGAACGGATCTCAAGAGGCCTGACTTTACCCACGAACCGTCCACTGATCGAATTTCTAAGTTGATGGCCTCATTGGGGGATGATGGAGAGCAGGGTATGGGCCTGGTCGGAGAAGGAGGTCACTGGCAGCATGCCTTCCAAAGCTGTACCTTTCTATCCCCCCCCCCCCCCCGCCCCCCATCTGCCTCCTGGCAGCCCTGAGCCGAGTGGCCTCCTCTGTGGCATGATCACACAGGTTCTGCCTTACCACAGGCCCACAGAATGAGCCACAGCGGACGGAAATCTCAGAAACCGTGGGCCAAACTGATCCTCCCCACTCAAGTGGGTCTTCTCCGTCATTTCCTCCAAGGGGTGAGAAACGAGAAACATCTCTGGGTGTCTAAGCTCAGCTCACCTCCAGCAGCCTCAGTTCCCCAACTTTGGGGTCTAGCCCTGAGCTCTCGAACATAGAGAAAGCCCGCTGCTGATGCCAAGGGCATCCAGCTCATTCTTCCCATGCCTTGTATTCCTTAATGACAGTGCCCCAGAAACTTTGCTGAAAGACCGCCTTGCAGCTCTGTCCCTGACGGTATGCCTCTATTTACCCAAGCTTCCAGCAAAGATAACAACTATAAATCCTCACCACTGAATCACCACCGGTGGGTGTCCAGACACTCAACACATGAGCTGCACACACAGGGGAACTCAGACATAACATTTATTCTCTATGGGGCCAGGGATGACTTCCCAAACAGGAAACCCAAGTTCCAAGCTTCTTAAGGCTTTAAGAGTGGCCACTCCATTACCTAGCTGGATCACTTAGCCTGTGGAGTGGAGAGTGCAGACTTCAGGCTGCGTCAGTGTGTTCTAGGCTACTCAGCTCTCCATCCTGTCCAGCTCCCAGGCAGCATGAGTGCCCAACCCAAGCCACTGGATTCCAACGGGACACTCAGAGACAAGAAAAACATTTACCAACTAAGTCGAGCACCGATTAGGATAAACTCCAGCTAAACAAACCATGCTTATGTCCCTCTGTGCTCCTATTCCCTGCCCTGGATCCATAAGGCACTCTATCTTTGACCTGAGTAGTGTATCCGCCAGTCACAGCCCCCTGGTACGCCTGTCTACACACAGTAGTATACATACAGTAAGTCTCACAAGAGAATGCTCTCCCATTTTGTCCCTTCGCAGAGCAGGGCAGGGAACTGGAGACAAAACTCAACATCATTCCTAGAGAGACAGAGACAGCTCGCTTAATAAATCATAGCTGTTCCCCTCCAAGCAGAAAATGATCGTCTGGATAACTTTTAACGTTGTCTGGCCTGATACTATCTCTGCATTTATGAATTACAGGATTTTTACTCCCCGTGGGCATGTCGTGTTCTGACCCAGCATGGATGCTTCGAGGTGTGCCACGGGGAAGGGCGGTCCAGTCAAGTGTGTGATCTTAGAATAGCAGCTTTCCTCAGATTTACTCTCGGATAAGATGCAAAGTACGCCCGCTTCAACTGTCTTGCAGGGCTGTGTTGGAAAGTAGATGAGTTAGCAAGAGCCTGGGGCCTGGGGAGGTGGCCCAGAGAGGAAAGCGTTGTCTGCACAGGCCCGAGGACTTAGTTTGGATCCTTAGAACCCACACACAATCCAGGCAGCCTGTAACTCCAGTGCAGAGCAGAGACAGCCAGGTCTGCAGGACTTGCTGCAGCCAGCCTGACTGAAACAGTAAGCTGGAGGTTCAGTGTGAGACTGTCTCAAAGTCTAAGGTGTTGATGAACCCAGCAAGACGGCCAACTTCTGGCCTCCACACCCAGGCGCGCACACATGTGTGCACAGATAAACAAAAAAAAAATAAATAAAGAATGAAAATTATAAAAAAGAACATGGCATCACTTTGACAGAAACTAAACGAAACAGTAGTGAGAATAGTAGGTGCTATCTCTAAATGCCGACGACACGTTGCTAAACTGTCCTTCATACTGTGTGTGTGTGTGTGTGTGTGTGTGTGTGTGTGTGTGTGTGTGTACTCTGTCAGTTTTTGTCATTCTGAGCATGGATATATATGGAGCCTTGGGATTAAGCAAACTTGGTCACATGACTAGCACACTCAAGAGTCTGAAATAGAAACCTAAGGCTTAGCTAAACTTACTCATCAAGTCCAGAAGCAGCGTAACTTACTACCCGTGAACACGTACATGGCTTAACTGGGCTGTGTCCCACGCTACTCTGCCCTAGGGAGGTCAACAGCAGACTTTTGGGCACTACCTTCCAGGAGTGCACTGTGGAGCGAGGGGACAGAGACCCAGACTCAAGGAGCTATGCATTCCACCCCATAGGAGACCAC